ACAGCTGAAGCCCCTATAGGCACTCCCTGCTCCGGACCAAGTCCTGGTCCACCACCATAACAACAAGTGACCAGCCACGCCAGGGCCAAAACAATTAACACAACACGATTTTGCAACAAGAAAGAGAAGACAGAACCCCAAATCGATGGCCAGCACAGACCAGGTCCACGTGTGCAGTCACCTGCTCTCGAGATCCGCTGAATAGCTGCAGGATCTGCGAATAGTTCTGGATGGCCAGGTTGAATCCGTTGTGGTAAACGTCGACGACAGAGTCTATGAGCCGCTCCAGCCGCTCTTTCTGTCCCTTCAGCTCCTCGATCGCGTCCTTGGGGTCTATGCCTCCCAGGATCTCCACCACGTGCGCCAACGAGTCGAAGCGCGGCATTCGATAATCCGAGCTGATCGCCTCCAACTCCCGGTCTATCTTTTCCCAGTCAACCGTCGGCTTGCTGTGCCTGAAGGCCGACATGCTGCGCTTGGCGCCGCCCCGGCAAGGGGCCCGACCGCCCCCCTGAGCGGGGACCAAGGGGCTCAGTGGGGAGTTGCGTCCCAGTCCGATGGGACCTGGGGACCCGTCTGCGCTTCTGATTTGTCCTGCAGAAATGTTGAGCATCCGATTATTGTCCCCACTTCTCACACGTTGGCGTTTGAAGAAAAAACAGGGGAAAATGACAAAAGGGGTTCCTCTGTGAGATATCTTGACAAAAGGGGGTCCTCTGCGGGGTCGCCCCCAGTAGGACCGGGTTGCAGACCGGCGCCGGTCCAGCACCGGCCTAGCAACACGTCTAATGTACAGGGGGCGGTCAAATGCCCCCCTTTTGCAATTTGCACCCCCGCGGAGGACCCCCTGTTGTCACAGAGGAACCCCTTCTGTCAAGATATCCCACACAGGACCCCCTTTGTCATTTTCCCAAAACACAAACTGCATGGGGGCCCCTGCACAGCGCCCTGTCAATAGCGCCCGGGCTGTAATAGCGCCCAGTACTTTGGTTTGGCACGCTTTCCGCAGTACACTGGGCAGATCTGTCCAAATTTAGCGTTGTGCCTGGCAGGACAGCTACCAAGAGGAAAAAAGGGAGGGGGGGCTTGCCAAAGGAACTTTCTCGTGTTCTTCATGAGTTGATCCTAACTGGTCGAACAGCTAGCGACGTCGCTGGCTTGAAGTGATCAATATCGAAAGCCTTTGGAAGGAGCCTGGGTCTTGGGGCTTAAGAATTGGGAATCAATGGAGCTGGTGTGTGCTTGCAACACTGCGACCCTGCAAGATTCATTGAGGCCGCTTTTCCTGGCAGGGGGCAGCATTCGCCCAAGGGGTTGATGCAAGAATGGAGATTTATGTGATACGTGTGGCTGCATATGGACCACGTGCCGATATTTGCAAGTCTAGACAACAATATGACTTGCTGCTCTAAATGCACCATCGGAAATAAACTTTTCAACCAATGCTTGCACCTCTCAGGCCTAGTGACACTGTAGTTGCGTTTACGCTTGCTCGCGTTGGTGTTTGCACATACCTGCCGACGGCTCTATACTATGGAGTCTATAGGTTGTGAATGAGTGAGCGCTTTTGTTTGCATAATTCTTGTGGGATGAGTTTAAGGAAGAGCAGGCAGAACGAAACAAGGAAAATGGTTGAGAAAATTGGGCATCGTCATTGACTCACCGAATGCTGACCTTGGGTTTGTCCAGGCTTGGCTTTAACGCCATAAAAACTTATCGTATTCGCGCTTTTGCACGTAAAATTGAATAAAATACGTAAATGCAACCTAGAAACTGTCCGGTGTACATAACGACAGTACATACAGACTTACGGAATCCGGAGAGTGGCAGCTAGGCGCCCTGGAAGGGGCAGAAAACAAATTTTTGTTAAGCGCCATCATCGCCTTTGCCAAGGGCGAGGTGGACATTGTGTTGCGGGTGCTGGAGTTGGTGGAGGACTGATCATTGTACGCAACTTTCATCGCATAACCTGGGTGTCCCAGGGAGCCGCAAAAACGTAAAAATAGCCGCAAAAATAGGCCCTTTTGCAAATTTACGTTTCTACGCATAAAAATGCAAAATTAAAAACGTAAACGTAAGAACCAAGTCTGAGTTTGTCCATGCTGAATGTATGGACAGGAACGAACTTAGTATCATTCTTGTAACGGAATCTCACGCTCGAGAGCTGACCCAAGAGGTCCTTTGCAGCTGCCAAAAGTACAGCAAAGACCTTTCTAAGAACTTTTGTTTCTTTTCTATCTGAAATACCATGTGCGGGTCAGAAAGCGGGGGTTCTATGTAGAATATGAGTATGCACTGCGCATGGGCGTTTTGCGGTGGTGCATTGAGTAAAATTGTGATGCATGGGGGATTGTTGGCAAGATGATTGTACGCATACAATCGTCTCAATGGTCGCTCAGAATCGTAGTGCTCAGGCATGCCAGCGTATGCTGGCATGCCTGAGCGCTACGATTCTGAACGACATTTGTTGGCAGGGCCAAACATTTTGAGATGACAGGTTTCCGTGATGTGCACCTGGGTGATCCAGAGGTACCACTGGCCGCAGGCTGTCAGGGTTTTTTGCAAATGCCATCGTGCATGTGGCAGGCAAAAATCACCTTGGCAGTCGGCGTGTTGTTAATTCGGCAAACTTTCCACACCAGCCACCCTGGAGCGAACTCCTTCAAACGGATTCACCCAGTCACTTGCGCAGAGCGGCTGCTGGTAAGCCCTTTGAAGCAGCCATCGGCTTGCAGGCCTCTCCAGAAGGGTTTCAAGACACAGATTTTGCTCAACCAGCGCTCTGATTTGGATTCAGCAGTGACCGCATGCGAGCATTGCGCAATGCTCGATCCCAACTGCAGAGGAGGCCACTGCAATGGAAGTGGTGCAGGGTTCATGCAGAAGTCTCTCTCGGATTTAGTGGTTGCCATGTGTTTTCTGACTTAAGGGAAGTCGCGGTAGTTGCGGCGTCATCTTTGGAACGAGCGCAGCCTGGTGAATCTGAATTTCATCAAATGCACAGCAATGCTGTGACAGCGTTGTTCCCGCGATTATGCAGGGCATGACTTAAGGGCACCGGCAATCGTTTTTTCAAAAGCTCAGGGTTTCTAGGGCGCTGGAGTGCCACGACGCCAAGAGGGTGCATCGCATGATATCATGCGCGCATCGATGCAACATCGCCGATGTGTGACCCCTTTGACAGACTCGAACTGAGTGGCTTTGGAGTCTAAATGGGATCCACTATACAGTAGGGGGCCTATACAGTCCGCGAATTGCAATGCAAGTAATACAACATACAGAGATTCCTGGGGAAATGTAGCAGTTGCATGCAATGCGTGTTGTGCCAGCGCAGGGTAGTCCATTGGAAGGTTCCGGCGAATTTCTGGATGTCTTGCTGAAGTATATCCGGTTAATGTGAGAGGGTTGTACAAATTGCATTTTATTGCCCAGGACAAGCCCAACGGAATTCTCAAAAAGCATGAGCAGCAGCTGTTGCTTCTGTAAGACGCTTCGGAGCCACAAGCGCTGGCTGTAGTATTACGGCGTCCACGATAGTGGATGTACGCGAATCATGGACAATCGGCTCTTGGACCAATGGTCAATCGCTGAGTGGAACTAAGGATTGAGTAGGACTCCTTGCTTACGGCTCTTGAGCCCATGCTCAAGGACAGTTCTTTGACGGAAGCCACTGGCATTGTCTCCGATGGGAACTCTCGGACAGGCTGCAATCTTGAAACCTGTGGGCTGAAAGCTCCCTCCATATCTCAGTCACATTGTCGAGATCCACACACACGGGTATGGCCAGGCTCATTGAGAACATTCATGCTTACATCGCGGTCCTATACTCCATCTATGCACATTCGATATCGTAATGTGCTACATTTCCAGTACCGAACCCGGAACGGCATCGGCACGTGCAAATCGTTGAGCGCATTGCGAATGGCGCTCTTCCCGTGAATGACTCCGGGAGAAAAAAATCGGCATGGAGTATGACGTGCCACATATGGGCAGCATCGATAGCGCTGGCCCTCCGCTCTTCTACCTCGGTTGAACTGGAATGCAACTGATGTCCAAAGAAAACCGTTGAAGCAAGCAGCAAGCCCATCCATAATAAGAGCACGGCCGGCTCGAATGGCGATTGCTGCAACGGCCATTATAACGGCCTAATTAGGCCCTAATAACGGCCCCTAATTAGGGGCAATGTAAGCTCAACTGTAGGCAGTAGTTTCATGCATCCCATCCATTCCAGAATGTCAGATTCGTTCTCATTTCAGGCTCCTGGCGCTTAAGCCACCACGCTCCCCTTTTACCACAGGCGCAGAAAACAGGTAGAACGAGGGATGTACTAAAGTATTGCGGCCACGGCCTGTAGATGATCTGTGCACCACAGCTGTTCCAAACCTTGTCAGAAAAGGGGCGCCCAGAACGCACGTTGAAGATTGCACGATGTACTGTCGTGCCACTTAAAATTGTGCCCATTTTCGCGTTACCTAGCCCCACTTCAACGTGGTCTACACTATAGACACACGATTTTCGGCAAGTTCTTCATGAAGAACTTGCCGAAAATCGTGCGTTTGAAAAGTCATGTGTTTGACAGAAACTGATCACCTTCTGTCAATCGTTGAAAATCTGGCGCAAGATTTAGTGCTTACCTGGCGGCACGAAGTTGCTGCTGAGAGCGGGCTTTCACGCCGTCTACACACACAGGCATAAAGTCCGTGACACGGGCGACTTCTTCCCAAGTCCCTGCTTGCCCACGGCCATGGGTTGCTGGATCTCATGGCTGCCGAGGACCCGACGCCTCTGCATCCCACGCACGGCAGCTGGGCGCTTCAGCGATTGGCCCCAGGGTGCAGCGCTTCCCCGATGGTGACAACAAACTTCACATTGCATATATGCCTGCGGCACGCAAATTCCAGCCATTACTGATACGTTACCGTGCGCGTTAACATCACAACGTTGTGGTTCCATCCGAGAATCTCGCAAATGGAACATTCGCAAGGAAGTTCCACCATCACGCCGACAACCCGCTCCCCACAGTGCCGGGTCCGCCGAATCCGTACGTAAAGCGGCACGGGCACAAGTCCATCAACATGGAGGTCTCGCGGCGCGCATCGCCGTGGATCGACGAATCGCCGCGAGCGGCCGACCGCCCCCGCGGCGCTGCGCGGAGTCCTCCGGTCTGCTCACCCCGTCGTCGCCTCTCCGGCGCCTTGGGTGCGCCGGCAACCGCGCGTCGCCGGACGTCCCCGACGAGGTACATGAAAATCGCGCAGCGAGCGCCTTCCTGCAGCGAGCATCCCTGCGCCTTGGCGATATGGCGACACGCGTGGAAGGGATTCCATGCGCCGCTGTGCCGTGCGCTCGCCTGACAGTGGCTATGAGGGCTCTCCGCGTGCCTTGCCGTGCTCTGCCCTCACTACGCCCACTTGGGTGGCGCCCCGCAGGCTCCTTGGAACGCCTCAAAGCGCGGACTCCGCGGGCTGAGGGTTTTGGGCTTGTGGGCGGGTCGGAGAGGTTTCGGCTGGCGGCGTGAGGGAGGGGCCCCGCGGCATGGCGCAGCCCGCCGGCGAGGCGTCCGCCTTGCACGTGCACCGGCGGATAACCGCCTCGTCCAACTCCCAAATTCTGGAGGAGATCCTCAGGTGCGGTTGGCCATTGGGCCCAGCGTGCGCGTGTGCGCGGTGTCTGCATTGGCGCTGGGGAGCAGGCTCGTTTCTGCAGGGGGGCGATGCCTGGAGTTTGCCGCAGTTCCCCCCCTTCCGTTTCGCTTCGCTTGCAGTCGTTGTGACCAAGGCGATGGGTCTCTCACCAACACACGCCTTGCATAGTGCCCCCTGCAGGCTATCAAGTGCGCGATACGCTGCATTGAGTCGCGACCCGGAGGTTTGTCCGGTACCCATCATTTCCAGATATGAAGGGGTGGCAAAGGGGTCACGAAGGTTGTGAGGGGTACAAGGTCCCAAAAGAACATCCTGTGAAGCCCTGCAAACTTCACTGACCTTCAGTACCTTCATGTCAAGTAATGAAGGGCATTGGACAATGTTGGAACTTTTGTGGCGATTTGCTGCTGAGAGGCTGCTGAAAGGGGCGATGTGTTCCAAGGGGACGCCTGGACACAGGAACTGGTTTAACTGAGCCCGTGCAGAGGAGGCAGACAGCCACTTCAGATTCTTTCGGAGTGGAGAGGAAGCCAACAGGAACGTCGGATGACTCTTTCAAGAGAATGCTCAAGACCGCCCTGTGAGTTGGCTCTGAATTGCACACACCTAGGCTGCCACCGGTGAATCGGAAAAGGCACCGAAGCAGAAGCGGAAGCATCTCTATTGCGGGGATCTGAGTATGAGAGTTTCTGGGGCAGTTCATGTCATGCATCACGGTGGCAATGTGCTTTGCTGTGTGCTCCCGTACGAGGGCATGATGGGGGCCCAACACCAGGGAAAGTGCCATTTCGTACAATATGTATCCGTGTTCAAAACGCCTTGAATTTTCCCGTGTCTTGTCCCAAGAGTTTATCATGCGTGGAAGAGTGCGAGATGGCGGAATGATATGTTCCAAACCGTTGTTGTCAGCGCTGAAGTGCGATCCTCTGCCATGGTCACTAGGAAAAAAAAGGGCCAAATAACACGTGTTCAAACGTGTACTAAGTTTACGGGTTTGTGTTACTTTCGTGTTGTTAGCGTGCAGAACTTTGATGAAATGTGTTTTATGGTTGTTCGAAAAAGTGTTATTTGGTCCTTTTTTTGCTAGTGGGTTGTACCACGAATGAGTGATCTGCACTGACACCATCACTGGTATTTTGCCTCAGGTTCAATTCAATTGTGCAGCCGCCTCATGCTGGAAGCGAAGCACTGCTGTCGATGGCGTCCATGGATCTGGGGGTAAGGCTACAGCTTTAAATTCTGAGGATTACAGTTGTCAGGGAGGCACAACACACGAATTAACATAATAACAGGAATTCTGCTAGACTGCACTTTTTTGGGAAGGCATGAAAAAAAGTTAGGTGTACAATGTCAAATTCTGTTGGTTGCAGTTGACAAGAACGCATGACATGACGCGCAAATGAACCTCGCTGGCAGTTTCTTAGTATGGCAGTATTCAACCATGGCAGAAGAACTGAGATTACAGTGCGGTATTCCGTGGATAGCTCTTGCCAAGAAGCCGGGACAAACAAATCAGCTCATAGTGCGAAATCCCTTAGATTGCGGTTGCCGAGAGGTCGTGGCTGGCACATCGCAACTTCCGTCCATCGATGGTGGAAACACCAGACCAGGGTTTGCCGGAAAAGTTGCATACCCTGGATATACATGTCCAGAACATGACGCCCATATCATGGCCATTATACTGAACATGGAGCATGCATGTGAGGATTGCATATGGCCACACCCTGGATATGTACATCCAGGATATGTTGCCCATTTCGTATTCGATATTCTGCATACGCCACCCACCCACCCACCCACTCACCCACCCCACCCCCCTATAACAGTCGCTGTTGCATCGGTGCAGGCCAAAGCCACAACATTCAGGCACCAGCAATTGAATATGCCACAAATGACAGAATGCTTTTGCCCATGCGCATCAAATTCAGTAGCAGGCGTTGTTCACAAACCTGGAAAATATTTCGCAAAGGCTATGCACTACATGTACTGGTAGTGGCGGTGAAGAGCCAACTTCGTCAGGCGACCTCCAGGCACGTGGGCGAGCGGTTCCACAGTACATCTAAGATGCATAAATGCATCTTATTATGAATCCAAGGAGCCAGCACGTCTGGTGCTGACGGTCGGCTGTGTTGCTCCAGGGTCACGAGGGAGCACTGCCTGGGCCACTAACTTCCCAAGAACTTGGCTTGGAGGGCAGAGGCGATGACATCAGCGATGACGAGAGCACAGACTTTATTGTTCTCGAGAAGGAGCTGAGGGGGTTCATCTCTTCCACAGGCAAGGTAGGGTCGTCCTAAGGAACAACATACAAGTAACAGTAGTATCCTTGCAGAAGTTGCAACATACTGAGTGTTTTGTTCTTGTGTTAGGGGACACGAACTATCAAATATCGTGTGATTTGCAGCGACCCGTTCTGTTTCAGCAGGAGGACTGCCGAACTAGTTGGACTCCACAGGGCAGCACTGCTGTGAGCCATGCATGTGCTGTTCCAATATATTTTCTTGTCTGAACTGGTTGGATTGACAAACAAATGCGCATCCGTTTGCCAGTCCAACCAGTTCAGATGGACCCTGCAAGCTCATTGATGCAACCACTTGATTAACATTGAGTGGTGCATGCACCACCCAATGTTGATCAAGTGGTTGCATCAATGAGCTCCCAGGGTACATGTTTTGGTGTGCAGACATGCACCATGACAATTGCAGCAACTTTTTGCTTGCAATTCATCATCAAGAGTAGAAAATATGAATGTAGAGCTCAACTCAACCATTGTCTCGCTCAAACTGGATGCAGGCGGATGCTGATACAGAACCATCGATGCCCACAAAGAGCTCAGGCTGCTACTTGACTGCTCCCCTCAATGGCATCCCTGAATTCTGCAGATTGAGCTTGAACACAGATAGCCCCAGCGGAGCTGCCTCCCAGGATGCAAGGCCCTCCCAATGCAGGGACTTACAGGGTGGCATCAGCCTCAGCGAAGTCAGCACAGGGCAGGATGGAAACGATGCAGCAAAATCACTGCACCAGCAAAACTGGGCCCCTAGCACAGCAGGGCCCCAGCTAGCAGACATCCAAAACAGCGGGGAGCTGGATTCAACTTGCCCCGTTTCCGGCTGCTGTGTTGGTGGGCTCCATGTGGGTGCTTCTAACAAATGTGGGGAATTGGGGACTGCGGCCAGCACTGTGATGTCCAAGCATTCGCCCCTTGGAGAGGGAACTTTTGTGCATGTGGGTGCAGCAGATGGAGTGCACAACAACCCCAACCAGCACTCAGGATCGGTGCCAGAAAGCCAAGAACACAGCCCGCTGATGAATGAGATGTTGGCACAGTACGGAGGTCAATGTACTGTGGGACGGGATGGGAATGGTTCAGGACTGATCCATTCCAGGTTGCTTGGAGCAAATTCCAGTGAGGGGATGCGCCAATTCCCAGAAGACTGTGCGATGGGAGAGTCAACATGCATGCACCTGGAGCAAGGGCCTTGCTTGCAACAAGCTGGGTGTCCATGCGCCCACGTTTGCCAGCCTATGGAGCATACTGCCTCCCATGTGTCAGATGCTCCAGGAAATCCTCAGGCTCTGCACTTCGATCCACATGACCACCAGGATCACATTTGTTCGGGCATCCCCCTGCAGACTGCAACTGCCATTGGTAAGTTGAGCTGTGCCAGCAATATCAGATGGATGATAGCGATGGTTTAGCCGTTTTGCGCCATCATTGGCAGTGGTCATGGAAGCGAAGTTGGTCAAGGCGGGGTGCACATGTAAGCCCCTGCATAGTCATACCATACTGTGAGCACAATACACAGCTGTGGGGGCAGATTGACAAATTCTGGGCAGGTGATCAATCAGCTATTCAATGGCATAAAAGAAACACCTAGTATGACATGTACCTTGCATCACCAGGGTCTTCAAGGCACTGTCCACCTTGGCTATAACCCAAACATCAGCATAGATGGTCACCATACCTGTGTACAAGAGATTGTCAAGGCCAATGTTTTTCCTGGGGTTATGTGTGTGAAGCGGTCCTAGTCCCCTCACACAGAATCATCAGCAAAGGTTATTCACCAGATTTTGGCAGAAATTTCTGGGTCTGCAGACTCATCCAGGTGCAATGTATTGTGATAATATTATTGTCCAAGATAGCAGCCGTTGTCTTGGACGATGATATCATCACCATGAGTTGCGCCCTGCAGCAGAGGTCACGGTTGGCAATGCAGGTGTTATTGGGGCTGTTCCTTGTGCCCGTCGCTGTGCCATCTGGCTTATTCGTCACCCTGCTGTGTGCCAGCAATCCGCCATCTCGATGCCGTGGTGGCAGACAGACGTGAGTGCCACTCCCAGCAGACGATTCTGGACTCCACAGTTGTCAGGGTTCCGCCAGCACGCAAGTCACTTTCTGCTATGGGATTTGGGACAACGCATGGTGTGGATGAGACCACGAGGGATGGCTCCCAGGCAGCGCGACAGGGGCACAGCCTGTTGAGCAGAAGTCTGTGCGAGCCGCTCCTGGGAGATCTCAGGGCAGCCAGAGCTGAAAAGTCGACCAGCGGGAGTCCAGCATGCGCACAAGACCAGGGTGGCTGCATGGGACAACTGCCCAGCGTGCAATGCAGTTCCAGCAAGTTAAGTGCAACTGGCAGTGACGATGGAACGGAGGTGAGCGCAAGGAAAGTAAAGAGGAAGAACACCAAGGGGGACAAGGTGAAAGTTGAGTCCTGTGAGCGGCCTGGCGAGGACGTGGCTGCAAGGCCTGCCGACAAAGGTGATATTCTGTTGCATGCCCTGCAGTACTGTGATGCACTTGCAGCAGACACTGGATAATGGCGTTTAGCAGATGTGCTATCGTTTCCTTTGTCTGTCCTGCGTTGAATGTTGTCTATTTCAGAGACAAAATTCGTTACAAAACGCCCTTGAAATTACCAAAGGAGGTCACAGTCGACAAGATTGGGTCCCAAAACGCTCAACTACCAATTTTTTAAAGGGAAAAAGTGAGACCTTGCCCCCCTGAGCGTTGGGCGAAATATAAATTATGGCCATATTTGCGCCAAAAACTCGAGGTCTTCTAGGTAAATGACCCTTGCTACAAAATGATGCCAAGTCGACAATTCTCAAAAGATTGATTTTACTTTTGATCGCATATTCCAAACCCATAAGCATAGCTTTGGACAAAGTTCCATTAGAAATGAAGTATCTGTGATGCATCATATGTGACATTTACTGTAGGACAGAGGAAGTAGTTGTTGTTGTTTTCACTACTGGAGCAGTAGAGCATTTGCCTTGCTGGGTGCACTGCATGCCATGCCTGTCAATGCCCATTTCTCATCGCTTTCGATCCGTTTTTTTTTGACATGCTGCCAACAATATCAGCAACATGGTATGCGCCGGAGTCGGCCGAAACGGTGAAGAGTGGACTCACGCTTTCTGTTCCGCGCTGCACCAGCGATGGGAGGTGAGGCTGTCGTGGGAAGCTGGAGCGCCATGGAGCCAGTCATAAAGCAAGCGCAGGTGGGGAAGGTGCCTGCAGCCCTGCCGGACCTGCCCCCCAGCGACGGCTACTACGAAGACCTCCTGAAGACGATGGACGTGGAGATGAGGCTCAGGAAGGCGGAGGACAAGTGGCGGGAGCACGATGCGGGAATAAAGGTCCTGCAGGGCAAGATCAGCAACGGTGAGCTCGGGGCGAAAGAGGGCCAGGAGGCGGTGAGAAAGCTCTACAACCGAAGGGAGGCTGCTGCCTCCCGGTCGAGGAGGGAAGCGGAACTGTTCCAGCAGGTTCAGCAGGTGCGCAGTTGGGAGTCTTGAGTGTCACGAGCCGTCGAAATATGCTTCGGTTGCATTTCAGAGCAAGCACGCCAGAGAGCACGGGTTTGCAATTGTGGAGCGATGCTTAACGGTCCCAAACTGTCGCAAAACAGCAAGCTCATGGGTGGTTGCAGACCGAGACCGACATGCAGCACTGCGGCGCAAGGTTTTTGTCAGTATTTGTCAAATTTATGGGGGCAGAGCATGCGCACAGAATCCAGGATGATGTCAATTTTGGACAACGTAGTCCAGCAGCGAATGTGGCTCAGTCTGAGGGAAGCCGCTCTGATTGCGCAAGAAGTAAGGTCTGAATGCCCTGCCCACAGAAACGCTATCTGGAGCAGATGGAGAGCTGGCTGCGCCAGCGCTTGTCGGTGGAGACGGGGAGCGACATGCAAGCATCCCAAGGCGTGAGGAGAAGTGCCAGCACAGGAACGCGCGTTGCTCCTAAAGCTGAAGCCGCTGTGGGAATCGATAGAAGCAAGGCAGTTGGCGCGCATCGCCTGAGCAATGCAGGTCCTGATGACCGAAAAGCCGAAGAGGACATGATGCATGCCGGATATTGAGCATTGAGTCTGGGCAGTTGAAAAATTGCTCTGAAAACAGTGGCACGGAATGAAGATGGACGGGGTGGTACAGTGAAGTGGTTTCTATCTGAATCTGGGTGCCAAAGCAGTGATTGGCTTCGCCGACTATGGTACTGATGATATTCGGCAGCTGCATGCTGGTAGGCTCCAGTGGGTACAGACAAGCGAAAACTCTGAGGACCGCGGATGCCTCTCACCGTGCTTGGCGTCGATCTCAGTGGCAGTGCGGAAAGTGGTGCCGCTTCGGCCCACCGCTGCCTGCCTTGGAATAAAGTTCGAAACGGGAACGTTTTCGTTGGAATGGCGATTTGAAGGCAGATTGCCGCAGCTCCGTGCGGATGGTTGGGGTCAGTGAAGCCGACCATTTGTCGATTGGCAGCGGCCAGCAATAATGTGATGGCTGGTATTGCCTCGTTCCAAGACGTACAACAGTGGCCCGCCGGCCTTGTGACCAATGCTGCAAGTGGGGTTGTCGTCAAAACCAGGCGTTAATAACGATGGGTTCTGCTGTAATGAATGGATCAACAGAGAAGCCATGCAATGCGTGGCTTGCAAGCAAGAAAACGGAAACGGTAGCACATTCCATACAAACATGTACGTACAAAAATTCGCACACATGCATACAAATGCCTCGCGCAAATAGAGTCGCAAATAGACTCTGGCTGCCTGGCGACGGCAGGAAAAGAGTTGATGTAGACTGGTAGGGAACGAACGCAACGAGGCTGGTGGCCGCGCGCTGTGGCATGGCAATCCAGTGGCACATCAACGGCATGTATTGTGTGTCACCAACTCATGATTCTGCCCACTGTCTGGCTGTTCCTTGGCGTCTGTGTCAATGCTTCTACTCAACATGACATACAACAATGCTACACACAAAACACTACACTGATGCACAACGAATCCAATGAGTCATTGAAACCAGGGTGTCCTTCCAATCCAGTGGACCAATTCCCCCGCCAAACCACCCTCTCACGCTCCCTGCCTGCCAGCAATCCGCAGTGTGTCACTCGAATCCCGGTCCCCCAATCGCCCTACACACTGTCGTGCTCAGCATTCCAGGCCCGGCAAATGAGCGGTCGACACAGGCTCGCCATCGTCCCCACTATCTGGACAGGTCAGGTTGTTCCCACTCAGCAGCACATTCACAGGCGCAAGCCCCTCTGCGTCCAGCAAGAAATCCGGCAGCTCCCCTGTAAGGTTGTTGTTTCTCAAGTCAATGAACTGCGGTTCATCTTCAAACACCACGGCGGTGTTTGCTACGATGCCTATTGTCCCCCATTCTTCTGGGATGGACCCATTGAAAGAGTTGTTGGACAGGAGGATCCCCGTTGCCTGCGGGAACAGCCCAGTCTCGGCAGGCAGCGGCCCACTGAACTGGTTGAATCTTATGTCTAGGAAGCCGAGGTTGGGCAGCCGTCCGAGCACCACCGGGAAGTCCCCCTTCAGGTTGTTGGCACTGAGGCCTAGCAACCCCAAGTTTGTTGACAGGCCCGCCTCCCTGCCGTCCATCCACTGGTTGGGCACCTTGGTGAACTTGTTACCATCCAGAAGGACGGTCATCACGACAGGTGACTCTGCGATGCTCGAGGGGATCTTCCCAGTGAGGTTGTTGCCACGCAAGTTGACAATCCTCAGGAAGTCCGACTTGAACAGGTTGTCGTTTACCCTGCCTGTCAGGTTGTTTTCTTGCAGGAAAAGTGTCCTCAGCCTTGTCAGGTTGGTGATCGACTTTGGGACATTCCCGGTGAGGCCACAGCCTTCCAGGGATATTGCCTCAAGGGTCGAATTTACAGAGAAGACGTCAGGGAGGGTGGAAGACAAGTTGTTGCCTCCAAGGTGCAGCTCTTTCAAAGTGGTTGTATTATCAAAGAGGCAGCCAGGCAGGGGCCCTTGAATGTCGTTCAGCTCCAGGTTCAACGTAGTCATGTTCCTTCGAGCGAAGCGACACACTGCGAGCGAGTCGACGAATCCATCGATGTCATTGTCTGAGGCACGGAACTCCACGAGATTTCGGAGGGACTGCACAGACGCCAAGACATATGAGTTGGCACACGAGCAGACATGAACAAATTTACTGAAGCAGATGCTGTCGATGGAATTCTGGCAGCCATCGCCTTGCAGGCACAACCTCTGTGCTTGTCTTAGCGCATACCTTGCATCCCAATCATCCACTGAGACTCACCACCTGAGCATGAGCAGTGCCTTGGTGCTCATTGGCAAACGCAGGCAACAGTGTTTGCAGATGAAGGGCTGCAAGTGTCTCGCTGCAGCAATCAGGTTGACACCATGCCACAGCGCAAGAACTTGAACAAGCATAAACTATGTGGGTTCTGCATATCCAGCGCCCTCCCTTGCCCACACAAAGTCCACAATGTCAGGTGGCTCCCCGAGCTCCCAGCGCATGTTGCGTAACAAGACCACGCTGGCACCGGCTAAATGGAGAGTGTGCTGTGAGCATGGCCCATAAACTGCAACACCCGGTTGGCCTTACAGGTAACCGCACAGGGAGCACCTTATCGGAAATGTGTCTTGCGTGCAGTGCCAAAGAGAAGCATGTTCCCTTCACATTTCAGCGAGCATGCCTGTGATTGAAACCAGCTTTCTGTGCATTGTTCATAGTGCTTGGGTACGGTTTAACCTCAATGGGGAAATGGCAAGAAGAAGAGAATCTAGCTGCAAACACTGTCTTCATGCTTGTGCAGTTTGCCACAGGTTCCAAGCAGTCTACACTTCCAGTCTGGGGCCACAGGACAGCGGCATTAATCTGGAAATTGGGCAGCAACTCCCTTATAGGAGGGGTCAATGACCAGTAGTCAACAATGCGTTGGCAGCAGTGCAAAGGTGTGACATGCTAGGGAGCTGGTTATCGACAAGTGGCAAAGCAAAGCCCAAGCACCTTGGAGGCGAGAAGGGACTTCCAATGTCCTGTCCGCTCAGTTGGGGCTGGCGGGAGGTGGTTGAGGTGGGGTGTGGTAGGGGAATGAGTGTTAAACTCCAAGACCCAAAAGGTCATAATCTTTGCCCCACCCCCCCCCCAAAAAAAAAAAAAGTGTGCTTGAGACTCTTTCCATGCAGCGAAACGATGACGCAACGTCTCCCACAAGATTATCAGGGCACAACACAAGCGACACGAGAGGCAATTAAAGGGTAAGTGGGTGGGTGGGTAGGGGAGTGCGCGGGCGCGGCCACTTCGGTACGCAAGGTCCTTCCAACCAATCGACTCCAAAGCGTCGCGGCACGGAACGACGCTAGGCGCACCGGGCCTACACGCGACATCGGCAGTTCCCAGGAGGTGCCGAATCGCAATTGGGACATCGATGTGTCCCCACCCCACCCCCTTCTTCTCTCCGGCATTCCATGCGACCCGCTCACACCGCCCCCCAGGGCCGAGCGCAGCGCCGGCAGCATCCAACTCCGCACAGCTCGCGGAGCTGTTTTGGGCCCCGATCCCCCGCTCACCGTCAGGCCCCCCAAGATGTCCTCCACCTTCCCCCCCACCGCGTTGTGGCTCAGGTCCAGCTTCTCCAGCTTGGGGAACTTCTTGAACTCCTCCACCGGCATCTCGCACGCCAGCCCCCAGCCCGCCATGTTGATCCGCACCGCGTGGCCCTCCTCGTCGCAGACGCTCCCGCGCACGTGGCACAGGTCCAGCGGCGCCTCCTCCTCGTCGTCGCCGCCGAACAGCTCATCCCCGATCGCACGCCACACCGGGCAGCCCTCGTCGCCGCAGCATTCCTCAAAGATCGCGCCCACGGCCTCACGCTCCCTGTCCACGAGGCTGCGCACGCCGGGCACGACGTCCAGCTCCACGACCACGCTGGTGGGGGTTTCCGACAGCGACCAAACGTTGCACAGGATGTCCGAGAACAGGGTTATGCCCTGGTCGGTGTTCTCCGCGCGCACCTGCTCGTTGAACTGCGTGTGGTTGCGCGAGATGAAGACGTAGTCCGTGCCCACGCTGTGGTTGGAGGACCACACAGCGTCGCTGCCGAACACCGGGTCCAGGTCGCCGGGGCGCGAGGTGGGCCGGCAGAACATGTCCGCCTCGCCGCCGGCGTTGGTCACCGTCAGGCTGAACAGCAGGTCAGGGAATTCGGCGCCAAGTCTGGGGACGGAGAAGCCGATGGGGAGCGGTCTCCGGAACTCCAGCACCGCCTCCTTGGGCTCCCCGGCGGCCAGCTCCGCGGGGAAAATCTGCAAGCCGCTGGGCAGGGGCACGATCGGAGAGTCCGGCGGCGGGAACTGCACCTGGCTGATGCGCCGCACGGGCCTGGCGCACAGCGTAGGCGCCAGCAAGGCCACGCACAGGGCGACCAGGCAGGAGATTCGCCGCATGGCGATCCGCTCGATGGTGGTGCGGGGAGCCCAGAAAATTAGGCGAGGTTGCGGCGGGTTGGGGGTGGGGGTTGGGGGGCGACAGCCGGGGGGCGGGGTTCGAGAGGCTGAGAGTTGTGGCCCGGGTGCCGCAGCTGAGGGGTTGGGGCGCGCGGGCGGGTCGCGTCGGTCTTGGCTCCGAGAAGGCCGAGGTGAGTCAGCCGCGGTGCCGGGACGAAGGGTCCGGCCTGAGGCCTTACGAGAGGGCATTTGGGGGGTATCGGGCCAGCGACAATTTGGCAATTGACATTCTGGCAACCGTATCGCAACCCCGCAACAGCCGCAAAAAAGTGCTATCGGCACGCAGTCGGAACGATATCGTTGATTGTCACACCGACAATCAGGCTTGGTTTTGACGTTTAGGTTTCTATGTTAACGTTTTTACGTATAAAAATGTAAATTTGCGAAGGGTCTATTTCTACGGTTGTTTTTGCGTTTTAACGTCTCGTTGGGACACCCAGGTTACACGATGAAGTCGCGCACAGTGATCAGTCTTCCGCCATCTTCAGCACCCGCAACACAATTGCAACGCTTGCAACACCGTTCCAAGGTATGTTGCAGCCACAGAACGCCGTGGCCCATGCCTGGTCAACAACTCCCCCACAATTTCCATTGCATCCGCGATTGGCCCTGAAGTGGTGCCTGGCACCAGATCCACGGCTTGGTGGCGGTTGCCGGCTGGCACCGAACTGGTGCCACCCATGAGCAGCTCTGCGCACACAGGCTGCGCCTTTGTGGTGAACAGGCTTCCGGCCTTGGCGCGCCTCTTGCCTTCGTGATTCTTCTTACGCACCGCATGGTAGCGTGCAAACTCCTCCCTGACCTCCCAGGGCACATTGCCAGTGCATGTTGCCACGCGAGAGCCAGCGATGCCAGCGAGAGGGAGCCATCGTCGCCCCTCACCGCCCTTCACGACTTGCTCGCGGTATGCACAAGTGGGTTGCAAGCCTTCCACGTCCTAAAAATGCTTGGCGGACGGCCCATACACTCCCTTGCCACCATTGGCGAGCGCAGGGAACAGTCGATCACGAGTTCACCGCGCGGCACAGGCATAATGTACACGAACAGATTTTACGTTGTATTTACGTATTTTCACGCATTTTTACACGTAAAAACGTAAATACCAATTTTAGCGCGCAAAAACGCAAATACATTCTGTGCTTACGGCGCAAGAACCAAGCCTCCCGACAATCGATTGGCATGGCTATTGTGGACAAATGATTGTGGACATCGGCGCAGTGGAAGGCTGGCTGGGATGGTCTCCGGTGGTGTCAACGCCTGGCGCGGGACGGGCAGGGTTGCCGTCGTCACCGCCCTTCCCACTAGCTTGTCACACGACTGTCCGCGATGCGCGTTCTAGTTCATGCTCTGCACTTTGCGCTTTGTGAGGTTAGCGCTGCGCGTACATCGCGAACAGGCACACATCGTGTGGCCACCAGCAAATTAAAAATACTTCTAGTGGTGAGGTGTTGCGCCCAACAAAACTGCGTATTTGCCAACAGTACACTTGAACCTGTGAAGACCAGGCCATACTGCGCCCCGTCCTGAGTGAGGTAGGGTGGCGAAATCGAAGATACGTAGAACAATGTGCACACTGCGTTTAGGACAGAAAACCTTTACGAAATAGTGTTCACGAAAATTTACTTATTTACCCGTCACCGCCCACACGCTGAGTGGCCCATTCGGTGCAATGCCCATCACGCCGGTAAAGTTCGGCTTCTGCCCCAATTTCGAGCTTCTACCTTTAGTACAGGCGTTGAAATGGCCCGGACAGTGGATTATCCGACATGCAGTGCATTTGTGAGTTTTGGCGCCTCCAGCTCTCGGCGGCTAAGGAGCTTATGAATAGCGTTCATTATACGTAGATGGCAGCAGAACGCGTTGCCAATGCAATCCAAAGCGATCGCCCCAGCGCTCCCGCTGCTTCAATATTTGGATACGAGGATTGCCACCATTAGGAAAAAAGGGCCAAATAACACGTGTTCAGACATGTACATAGTTTGCGGGTTTGGGTTATTTCCGTGTTTTTAGCATGCAGAACACTAACAAAATGCATATGAATGTGTTCATGAAAAGTGCTATTTGGTCCTTTTTCTGCTAGTGTCGCATCATGCCGTTCCTCCCTCCACGTCCACATCAGTGGCTTGGAAATTGCCTCTTTCTCCTAGCCCGCCACACACTCTTGTTTCTCTACCGTATTATATTCAACCCTTCTGCATAGTAACTTAGCAGTTGGCCCTTTTTGCGGAGAAAACAGTAAAATAAATAACGCTATATTAACAACATTTGCTGCGGAGCAGCGCAGAAAAGAATAACGGTCTGAGAAAAATGCGGAGCAAAAGCGCAGCGGTAAAATTGTTCGATGCGGAAAGGTTAAATACACTACGGTACGCATACTCCTTAATCCGCACCCCCCGCGTGATCTACAGAATATGCAGATCGAGCATTACATAGAACACCGTTTCCTGCGAGCTGCTCTGGCCCAAGATCTCTGCACAGACAGCCTGCCTAAGGGCCACAAGACTTTCGCCCAGTGCGCACCTCCATCGGCTGTCATGCTGCACGCGTCGCCATTTCCGTGCGTACCTCGCCGCCCCCACAGGACGAGGCCTCACGATGGCGAGCAGACCATCTCCCACGGCTTCACGTTCCCTCGCGGGACGCATGTGGGGTACGTCACTGGAAAACTACTGTTCGCTTCACGCACTTTCCAACTGTGTTCACAATGCGCTAAATGGGATCAATCGCGCGTTTGAAGTCCGAACCGGGTTGGAACGCAACCAGAGTTCGTCCACCAAATCGTGATAAGCTAGCCGCCTGTAAAGCACGAAAATATTGGGTGAAAGTATTGTCACATTAATTGTAATTGCAATTGCGACATTACTGCTGCCAGCCTAGCGCGTGCACGGATGCGGCGAGGTCACAGCGCATCGCTCGAGACTGAGTGCGGTATCAAAAGCAGCATTGTGAAAAATGTTTAGCATCGTTTAAAAAACCTTCTAATTAGAAGCGGTGCCAGAAATTTGCCAATTGGTTACTATATACTGAAGCGGTTACTTCGTGAGCGTTCTGGCAGAGCCGTTACTGCAATGTACTAAGTGCCAAATCTTGTAGCCACTCATATCAGTTTTTCGACTATGAAGGACGGCGCTTGGCCGGCGTTCGACAAACGGGCCCATGGGGGATCGTAACAAATTAGCTGAATTAATAGATTGACATCAAGAAATGAAAATTATTGAGATCGTTAACTAACACACTAGTCAATCAGGATTAACACATAATGTCGCCCAATGCGGCTCCTTTTTAACCCAGTTCACTCTCGGCGTGAGCTCTTAGGAAAACTCGGTACGACACACACTAGAAAAAAAAGGGCCAAATAACACTTTGCGAACACACATAAAACACATTTTATGATAGTTTTACACGCCAAGAACACAAAAATAACACAAACCCGTAAACTTCGTACACGTTTGAACACGTGTTATTTGGCCCTTTTTTCCTAGTGACAAAGCTAGGCCTTGCGCCATATTTTCTTCTGAAACTACAGTCCAAACACTGACGAATTGGCTGTTGTTGGAACGAACTGTTGTTGGCAAATTCTCAGAATTTGCCAGGCTGACAATACGGGCTTTTCTTACAATTTGGCACCGTTTTGGCAAGACCAAAGAGTACGTGAACAACTCTTTTTTGCACGAATCGGCTATATACGGCGGGTCAACCATGTCGGCCTCCCATTCGAGTGAATCACACGAATGGGCGCACACGACACATCGGACTCGTATTGCCGCAAGATCATTCGATTGAAGACGTCCTGCATGGGCTTGATGTCACCGATGCAATTCCACATTGGGGCAAACTTGACGCGGCAGCGCATGCCTGTGCAGACATGTCAGCTGCGGCAAGCAGCCCTGAGCCACCGTATGTGCCAGTCTCCACCATGCAGTGGGAGGCGCCCGATACATGTGCTTTCATTGCCGTATAGCAATCGCCGCAAAAAGGAAATTTTATCCTCATCGACGTCGTTGCAAAGAACAACAAAACCCATTGGCGCTTTTCTTAATTCAGGATATGGTAAATCTAAGCATGAAATTCATTAATCATTTGGAGCTCGGTGGGTCGGCTCAGCGGACACGCCCCGCTGTATATCGCTTTCGTTGGGGCAGCTGGGTGGTGCGGGCTGCTGGGCCTATGGACGTGCTCATGAAATTTGATTCGGCTTGACTTGGTTGGCACAAACTCCTCTGTCCTGGATAACACCTAGGGTATCCTAGTTGTCCCATATCGATATGGAAGGCCCCATATCCTCGATATCGAATGAGATACGGGGAACATATCTTGGATATACAATTCTGGGATAGGGCCATATCTTGGATATGGCTGCCCATATCCTGGGGTTTGGCAAGGATATGGGCGTGGATGCGGCCACATCCCAATACATGGGCGCCAGCATCCGTATGCTGGGATCCCAGGACATGGCCATATCTTGGTTGTGCATATCCAGGTTATGCAAAGTTGCTAATGTTAAAGTACGTGCCCCTTAGTGATCGCCCCGAAGGACCCATAGATCACAGGCTGAACTTAATCTTTGCTCCATTAAAACTCGCGTTGCTTCGAGAGTTTGGGATCATCATATTGAACTGAACAAATAACCCATTGCTTAAATTGATGATCAATCATAATCAACATCGTCAAGAAATCAATCCTGATTGAACAACATCACATCACTTCAAATGCTCAGTCCACATGCATCACCCTTTCAACCCAATATAACCATCACACATGACTTGAGAAACCCACACAACACTTGCTACCACTTTTCCACCTCTTGCCAAATGCAATGTTGCCCTTTGCACCACACCTTGCTCTGAATCTATAGATCCATCATCCGGCAATTCAATTCTTGATCCCCTTGATCCTCCTTATCCACACTGGATCACTTCAGAATATTCTACAAATTCGCC